CTGAACCCATAATATTACCTGGTGGGTTTCTATAACGGAAGCTTTTTGCACCAAGGCACAATAATCGACTAGTCAATAAAGCAATATTTTGCTACTGTTATCAAGTGGATTTTGAATCCCAAATTCCAAAAGATGCCACTGGGTGGCAGTGCTTGACTTAATTTGCAGGTACCTGAGTAGGAAGCTGCAAAAATTATCTGTACAGGCCTGTTTTTGTTCTAGAACCTTCTCTGATAACTGACCTTGCTTCTTTTCTAATGCATGTGTTTTAGTTATAAACTCTCTTGTAAGGACCAGTTTTAGCTGCATTCCACAAAGTTTTCCTTGTACTGGTATGTGGTGTTTTCATTATTATTTAAGTGGAAATATTTTCTAATTTTTATAGTGAATTATATTTTGACCATGAATTGTTTAGTAATATGTTTATTTATTTTTAAATGGGGATTTTTGAATTATTATGTTATTCACTTCTAGCCTAATTCCACTGTAGATAAAAATTATCCTTTACATAGCTCCCATCATTTTAAATGTGATAACAATTGTTTACAGCCAAGAGTTTTTTTTAAAAAATGTTCCATGTATATTTGAAAAGAAGGTGTGTTATGACATTACTTGATACTGATTTCAATTTGTATAAATTAAATTTATTTTATTATTTTTCCAAAATCTACTTATTAATTTTTATCTGTTTATTCTATCAGTTACTAGGAAAAAAATGTGTTAAATATCCCACTTTGAGTCCTCAGCTTTTAAAAATCTTTCAATGTCCCCATGAAAACCCACAGAGAAACTTGGTTAATAAAACCAATGAAAGATGGACGACCTACTAGGAAGAAAAATGTGAGCTAAACCTGTACAGTTCCGCACAAACCTCCAAGGACGAACAGTGGAAACAAGCCACCAGCAGACCAAGGCCTGTGCAGCAGCAGCCTCTGTGCGGGAGGAAGCCGAGGGGAGCAACAGAGAAGATCTTACCAACATGTATTCATCTGAAGTCTTAGTAACCAATTGGAACGCAGTTGAAACTGGCAGGATTTGAGCGCCCTAGTGAGCGAGTACAAGCTGTCCGCCATCAGATCTGAAGGAAATAGAAGAGCCTGGGCCCTACTACCCTTCAACACCAACCAATCTAAAGGATCATGTGTAAGGGGGAGCCAATCTGAAAGAGCTGCCAATGACCCAAGCTGGAACAATTTGAGTGCCAGAATGAATAACATCGTCTAGTTTATAACCCCAAACGCAAAACAAATATCTGTGTCCCTAATGACTCCCAGCGCCTCCTTGATTTGGGTATTCTTGGATATGCTTTAAGGACAGTGAGTACAACAAATGTGATGTAAAGGAGGGGGGACTTCCTGTTGGAAATGGTGTCAAACAAAGGTACCTGCAGACAATCTTCCTGCAAGGTTGGTGATTGTTTCTGCAAAGAGGCTTGGGGCACACGTCTGTGAACTGTCCTGTCCAGGAGGCCCTTAGTCACTCCCTGAGGCACAGAGCTGAGCCTGTGATGTTGATGCCCCTCATACTTTAGGCAGCTAGAATTAAATAGTTTAATGTTTTTCATCTTTATTGTTGCAAGTATTATCTATGTCCTCCTTTTCCCCCATTGATCTCTCCCAGCTCGCCCAGGTCCCCCACCCCAGGCCTTCACCACCCTGTTGTCTGTGCCCATGAGTTAGGCATATATGCATACAAGTTCCTTGGTGGATCTCTTCCCACCCATCCCATGCCTCCCTTCCCTCTGAGGTTTGACAATCTGTTCCGCGCTTCTCTGTCTTTGGATCTATTTTTGTTCATCGGTTTATGTTGTTCATCAGATTCCACATATGAGTGAGATCATGTGGTACTTGTCTTCCTCTGGCTTATTTAGCTTAGCATAATGCTCTCCAGGTCCATCCATGCTGTTACAAATGGTAAGAGTTCTTTCTTAATTCTTAGTTAGGCAGTTGTCCATGTGTTAAATCACTTTTCCTGCTCAACTTTTGTTCTCACAAATGTAGTCATAGGTTGCTGATGTCAAGCAGGAGGAGATAACTTCACGGTCAAGGTCGCAGGAAAATTTATGAGTTTGTTTTGGAGAAGGAAAGAATGTCTTCAAGGTAGCTGTGGCCAGCTGCTGACACCCAGGAGTCTGATAGGAAAAAGTGTTATCTGTGACTAAAGAAACACAGACTTCTCCCTCAGTTCCCCAGAACTCCTCCTTCCCTACTCCCTAACTGCATAAACTCCCTGTATTTTGCTTTTTGAGAGAGGGGGATTGAGGATCTTGCTCCTTGTCTTCTCACTTTGACTAAATAAATAAACCTTTCTGTCTCCAAGCACCAGTCTCAATGTTCTGGCTTTATCTGCACAAGAGGTTTTTATTTTTCCTTGATTGGAACTGGGAGCCAGTTATCCTAAATGATGAAAAAGAACTGGAATCAGATTCAGTACCATGAAGATAATTACTTTTATAACTTAAAAAAATGTATTTTAAGAAAGTGTAATGGAAATGAAATCAGAACCATGACAATATGACGGTATCAAATTTTTGTATAGATTTTATAAACCTCAGTGGGGAAAAACAACTCATTCCAATGCCATTCATTTTTTTTTTAATTTGTGAAAATCATGGATGTGTTTTGTTGTGTTTTTCTTTTTTTTTTTTTTATACTAGGGGCCTTGAAATTAAGCTGAATAAAAATAGCTTTTTGCACATAGTTAATTTCTTTCTACAGTAAAAATAGTGCTAGGGGCAGAAATAGAATATTGGGGACTAGCTAAAATTATAAGCAATTCTAATCATGCTCTGTTAACCATGATTGTTCTGTTCTGATTAGAGAAAGCACATTCTAACCTGGCTAAGTTACTCTCCCACATAATTTTTGCCTCCTACCCAATAGAAGCAGCTGGCTAATGGGGAGGGGCAGAGCAGATTTTTGTGGATGACCTGCTGCTCTCCATACTGCCTGCATTATTGGAATAAATGCTCATATATGATTTAACCCTGTCTCTACTTAATTGGCTCAAGTAGTGACAGGCAGCTCGGACCCTTTGGTTGTTTGGTTACAACCAAGTAGTATGTGTTTTATGGACTGTTGAAACTGTCATTTTTAATTGTCTTCTGGAAAAGGAAGCTATGATATAATGTCTAGTTTTAACTGAACAAGTTATATAGTCAAATGGCCTGTAGATTTTCACCCCCCCACCCCACTTATAGGTACACACACACACACACACACACATTTCTTGCCACATAATTATAAGCAATTCTAATCATGCTCTGTTAACCATGATTGTTCTGTTCTGATTAGAGAAAGCACATTCTAACCTGGCTAAGAGTCCTCTACCCTGGGACACGGGAGTTAACATCAGAATACAGTCCATCTTCCTTTCCCAAGAACTGCCTACCCTTATGGAAAGATTTACAACCCTGTGGCTAAAACAACCTAGTCCCCCACCCTTTGCAATCCCCAGCCCCTATTGCCTGTAATGGGGTCCCAGAGGTGGTGCCTGGAAGCACCCGTACTCTATGACAGGCAGCTCGGACCCTTTGGTTGTTTGGTTACAACCAAGTAGTATGTGTTTTATGGACTGTTGAAACTGTCATTTTTAATTGTCTTCTGGAAAAGGAAGCTATGATATAATGTCTAGTTTTAACTGAACAAGTTATATAGTCAAATGGCCTGTAGATTTTCACCCCCCCACCCCACTTATAGGTACACACACACACACACACACACATTTCTTGCCACATTTTTATTTTTAACTTAACTTAATTAAGTTAACTGAATATGCTTAATACCTAAGATTCATACTACTGTACTACACATTTTTTTTTTCACAGTAATAAGTCTTCAGTTTTAACATATGATTCTGCTCAACATAAGGCTTGCAGAAGTGATTTGCTTTTGGGTATTTCTAGATAATATATTTAGGGTGTTTGTAGAAAAGTTTTCCACTACATATCAGATGAAATACATTGTCGAATACATATTTAGATTTGATTGAATTATAATGCTGATCTGCTGATTTTTAAAAACAAAACAAAACTGAAAAAAAGGCCTTTCCAAAATATCTAAATCCTAATCCCTGTGAATGTTACCTTATATAAAGGGATAGAAAGGGAGTATCTGCAAATGTAAATTGGAAACAGCCTAAGTGTCCATCAGCAGATGAGTGGATAAAAAGAGCTGTGGTACATTTTCACAATGGAATACCACACAACTGTAAGAAAGAAAATAAAAAAGAAACTCTAACAATTTGCAGCAGCATGGAAGGACCTGGAGAGTGTTATGCAAGTGAAATAAACCAGTCAGAGAAAGACAAGTATCACATGATCTCACTCAGATGTGGAATCTATGAACAAAATAAACTGAGGAACAAAATAGACCCAGAGACATAGACGGATGGGACAGACAGACAGATTTCAGAGGGAAGCAGGAGTGGGAGATAGGTGGGAAGAGATAAACTGGGAATTTATATGCATATATTTATAGCTCATGGACACAAACAATAGTGTGGTGAAGGTCTGGGAGGGGCGGGTGCAGGGTGGAGGGGGTCAATGGAAAAAATAAACAAGGGGACATCTGTAATGTTTTCAACAATAAAGATAAATTTTTTAAAAAAGAATCTCAAAATGGGAAGATTGTTCTGGATTATTTGGATAGAACCTGAATGCAAACACATGTATCCTTCTAGGAGGAGGCGTAGGAGAAGGCCATGTGAAGATGCAGCAGAGAGATTTGCAGATGCCAGCCTTTGAGATTAAGGTAATTTGGCCAGAGCAAGGAGTACCGTTAGCCCCCCGGTGAAAGAGGCAGGGGCCTCCAGAGTGAGCATGTCTCTCACCAGTACCTTAATTTTGGCCCAATGTTACTAGTATTGGACTTCAGGCCCAGGAACTCTAGAGAATAAATTTCTGTTGTTTTAAACCACACAATTTGTAGTAATTTGTTATAACAGCCACATGAAACTAATACAATTTCCCTACGATGTTTTCCTTACGTTTTTTTCTCTTCCCACTTAAAATACAGTTTCTGTACCTGTATGGATATTGTCTTCTCTTACTTGTCAGTATTATTCTTATTTCTAAACTTTAATAAGCACTGGTCTCTATCAGGACCAACATAATTCTAATAACCATAAGTAATGAGAAAAAAGGATCACGTGCAGGTTTTGTGAGTCAAAAATATTCCTAGTTTGAGGATATGCAGCAATCATTATAACTGATTCAAGCCTAGATTTAGACAATACAAATGGCATTGTTCTTTGTACTACAACTACAAAGTATCACAAAATACAATCGAGTTAGTGATGGATTTATAAATTCTTATCCAGCCAACTAATGTACATGTCTCTTATTCTGAGACCTAGATGTAAATTCAGGGGTGATGACATAAATGATAGAGCTCCATGGAATCCATCCTCAATATGTTCATGAGTAACTTGAACTCCAGCATTTTGAAGTCTTGAAACATACAAAAGTCCATCATCTCTCAGGATATCATGTTCACAGGTAAGGATAAAGGTTGATGGCAAATTCTGTAACTGGGAATCATTGGCCAACAAGGGTGACATTCTGATGTCCATAAGAGCTGGCAATGAATAACTAGTTCTTCCAAGAATTGGTTCAGTATAAACATAGTCCTTTCTGTACTTCTTGGGTAAGAGAGTACTCCAGTTAACAAACTTGAACAAAGGTCTTGATTCCAGCGGCATATGTTGGTTTCTTTTCAGTGCCTGGGGAAATGTTTTATCCTTGGTGATATATAAGCTCACAAGTTTTATGGCTATGTCCCTTGTCAGAACCACACCATTCTCATTTTCTCTGTGAGATGGCAAATACGAATCAATTACCTGTAAGTGAGGGTAAAGTAGAGCTTGTACCTTGATTTTATGTTTTATTTCAAGATCATTCTGCACCTGAAAAAAATATGATAATACCTTGTAAGGCAAAGACTTCCAAAACACCAGGAAGAGGAAATTTAATATTAATGGTTTAAGCAATCTTGAGCTATAAACAAATCTACACGAATTGATGTGATGTTATAATTATTTTCACAATATTTATAATGTCAGTGACATGAAAAAATGTCAAGCTCATTTTAACAGTAAAGTTTTTAACACTGTTTTTTTGTGTGAGAAAAAGAGAGAGATACAAGCTACCAGTTATAAATTACGTAAGTTCTAGGGATATAATATACAATATGGGGACTATCTACACTAATAAAAGAGAAAAATGGTAATTGGCATACGGCGCTACCCTTTTCATTGGCTAATCAGGGCTATATGCAAATTAACTGCCAAGTAAGATTGGCAGTTAACTGCCAACAAGATGGCGGTTAATTTGCATATGTAGGCACAATGCAGGGAGGCGAAAGGGAAAGCAGGAAGAAGCCCCCTGCCACTGACAGTGATTGGAAACCCAAGGCGGCTTTGCCCTGCCCCCCAGTCATGATTGGAGAATCAGGTGCCTTTTCCGCCCTGGCCAGTGATAGCAGGAAGTAGGGGTGGAGCCAGCGATGGGAGCTGGGCACGGTCAAAGCTGGCAGTCCCAGGAGCTAGGGGTTCCTTGCCTGGGCCTAAAGCGAAGCCCACGATCACGGGGCCACTGCAGCTGCGGGTCCCCGCTGCCCAGGCCGGACGCCTCAGCCAGAGGCGTCCTGCAGGGGCAGGGGCAGAGCCTGCGCGATTGCGGTGCCACCCCGGTGCCACTGCAGGTCCCTGCTGCCCGGGCTGGACACCTAGGCCAGAGGTGTTAGGCCTGGGCAGGGGACCACCAGCTCCCCGCGGTTGCAGGCTCCACCCCTGCCCAGTCCTAACGCCTCTGGCCGAGGTGTCCGGTCCGGGCAGCGGGGACCCGCTGCTGCAGCGGCCCCGCGATCGTGGGCTCCGCTTTAGGCCCAGGCAAGAGACCCCTAGCTCCCAGGACTGCCAGCTTCGACCCTGCCCAACTCCCATCGCTGGCTCCCCCCCTACTTCCTGCTATCACTGGCCAGGGTGGCAAAGGCGCCCGATTCTCCGATCATGGCTGGGGGGCAGGGCAAAGATGGCCCTGGGTCTTAGCTCCCCCCTGGGTTTCCTTCCGATCACTGTCAGTGGCAGGGGGCTTCTTCCTGCTTTCCCTTTCGCCTCCCTGCATTGTGCCTACATATGCAAATTAACCGCCATCTTTGTTGGCAGTTAACCGCCATCTTTGTTGGCAGTTAACCCCCATCTTTGTTGGCAGTTAACTGCCCTCTGCAGAGGCAACAAAAGCTAAAGATAAACAAGTGGGACTACATCAAACTAAAGAGGTTCTGCATAACAAAGGAAATAATAAATTGAAAAGGCAATCTGTAGAATGGAAGAAAATATTTGGAAATCTTATATTTGATAAGAAGTTAATGTTCAAAATATATAAAAACATTAGTAATATGCTAATTATATCTGACAGCCAGACGACCTTCTGGACATCCTTCTCGACAACCTTCTGGACCAAGCTGGGGCTGCAAGGGAAGCCCAGGTCCCGGGTGCCTGCTGGTGGCTGGAGGGAAACCTGGGTCTCAGGTGCCAGAGGGAAGCAGGTGCTGGCAGGGAAGGGAGGCGTACTCTTGCAGGAATTTCATGCATCAGGCCTCTAGTAGTTAATAATGCTATATTGTATATTTGAAGTTGCTAAGATAGTAGATCTTAGAAGTTCTCATCACATGAAAAATCATGTAACTACATGAGGTGATAGACTTATTGTGGCGATCATTCTACAATATATACATACATGGAATCATTATGTTTTATACCTGAAACATTATATTATGTTATATGTCAATTATGCCTCAATTTTAAAAAAGTATGATATATAGCAAAATTTTCGCCCTAATGAGCTATATCAAAGAGTAATTTGAAAGACGGAGAGCAGCAACCACAGTGATCTCCTCAATCTGAGGTAATGACAGAAAGAGCAGCAACCTGGTTTCATGACCATAATAGTAGCACAATCTAGAGCTATATTTGCTCTAGAAAATTGGGTGCCTTATCATCAATTGAGTTAGTGCACAAAATGAGTTCTATAGAGTAGGCAATGGGGGAAAGAGAAGAGAGAGCAAGAGAATGTTTTTGTCAAAACCCACCAATGGGAAAAAACTAAATACTATGTTCCTGAGGAAAATGAGGGTATATATAGCTTTGTAAAAATTATTGACTAAAAAAACAACAACAAAAACTTCCTTCAAAATGACAGAGTAGGTAAGCTCTGACTTTGCCTCCTCCTAAGTTCACATTAAGATTACAGCTACACTATGGGACAACCATCACTGAGAACCACCTGAAGACTAGCTGAACAGGATTCCTATAACTAATGATACAGAAGAAAAAGTCATAACTGAGACAGGTAGGCGGGGTGGAGATGCAGACAGGGCAGGTTCCATACCTGAGTATAATGAGTAAGAAACAGGAGGGATCTATCAGGTCCAACCCCACTTTGGGTTCCTAAATTCAGTGCTGGGAAGAGGAGTCCCCATGATATCTGTCTGTGAAAACCAGTGGCGATTGCATCTCAGACAGACAAATAAATGTCTGTGGGAGACCAGGACATGCTGCTCTTAAAGGGGCAGTGCAAAAACTCATTCGATCTAAACTCCAGCACAGAGGCTGCAGCTCAACAAGTGACAGGAACATCTGGGGAATAACTAAGTTGACTAACTTCTGGATGAGGGCTGGCATTCTCTCCAGGGACAGAATCACTGCTGGACCATTGTTCCTTTGCTGAGCTCTCCTCCCAGAAGCTGGCCCAGTGCAGGAAGGTGCCAAACTCATGCTCTCCATTAACTTGGGAAACATAGTTCACCCCACCCTGGTGACTCCCTAAGACCCCACCCAACTCAATTCCCTTGACTGGTCTGAGCCTCTTCCAGAAGTTTCTCCGTAGGAGTGGCCTGCCTTGGCTCATGCTGCAGACACACTCAAAGGACGGCAAACACCACATGAGTCATAGAACCCCTAGGCTTGTGCTGCAGACTTTTTCAAAAGGCCACAAATTCCATGCAAGTGGTTGCTCTTGGCTCATGATACAGACTCTCTCAAAGGTCGAAAAACCCCACACAAGCAGCAACAGGCCTTGGCTTAAATTGTAGCTCCTGTCACGTGGCCACAAGGTGAACAGACGTGATAACCAGTCTCAATTTACACTGTCGCTGCCATCAGGTGGCCCCAAACTGGACATAAGGGGAAGCCAGCCTAAGCCTTCAGCATAGGTCCAACTAAGCAGCCACGGACCCAGCACAAATGATGACTAGCCTCAGTTTGCATCAGTGCACCCACCAAAGGGTCTCAAAGCCAGAACAAGTGGCAGCTGGTCTCAGTTTGCAGCAGCCTCTCCCAAGCACATCCAAGTCCAGCACAAGTGGCAACTAACCAATCACTTTGTGGCTCCTACCAAGCAGCCCCAAACCCTGAACAAGCAGTGGCTGGCCTTGGCCTACACCAGAGCTCCTCCCAAGAGGTTCCAGACCTAACAAACAAAGGGGCAGGCTTCAGGCTGCACTGGGGTTTCACCCAATGAACTTCACAATTGACACAAGAAAAGGGCAGATCCAACTGGCCCCAGAGCCTCTGCTAAAGTGATTCTCACTCCCTGGGGTCAGCCCCTGCAGAACAACTCATCTAGTGTAGTTATGGCCAGTCCTCTCACCCAGTCAGTCCACTGATGTGCCAACAGCAAGGGAGGTCCCAGTACAGTAGGAGGGCCCACACAATTCACACAGGGGATGCCACTGGAACCTAGCTCTGGTGGCGAGGGAGATGTGCCACTATACTGCATAGGACACCTTCTACATAAGAACACTCTGCCAATACTGGAACATGTAATAGATCCACATAATACATAGAAATAAAGACAGGGAGTCAACCAAAAATGAGGAGACAAAGAAACAGGCCCTAAATGAAAGAATAGAACAAAACTTCACAAAAAGAACTAAACAAAATGCAAGCAATCTACTAGATCCAGTGTTTAAAACACAAGGATGTTCAATGAAATTGGGAAAAGAATGCATGAACTTAGTGAGAGCTTCCACAAAGTGACCCCCCCCACACACACACACAAATAGACAACAAAAACAACCATTCAGAGCTGAATTATACAATAACGGAAATCAATAAAACATCAGAGGGAATCAACAGCAATTAGATGAAATGGAAAATTGAATCAGTAATCTAGGAGACAGGCAGTGAAAAACTCCCAATGGAACAACACCAAAGACTAAAAAAGGAGGATAGTTTAAGGGACCACTGGGACAATATCAAGTATACCAATAATTGCATCAGAAAGGTCCCAGGAGGAGAACAAGGAATAATAAAAAAAAAAAAAAAAACTACTTGAAGAAATAATGACTGAAAACTTCCCTAACCTGGCAAAGGAAATAGACATACAAGTCCAAGAAGTGCAGAGATTCCCAGACAAGATGAACACAAAGAAGTCCACAGCAAGACATATTATAATTAAAATATCAAAGGTTAAATATAAAAGAGAATTTTATTTATTTTATTGATTGTTTTACAGAGAGGAAGGGAGAGAGGGAGTTAGAAACATCAATCAGCTGCCTCCTGCACATCTCCTATTGGGGATGTGCCTGCAACCCAGGTACATGCCCTTGACCGGGATCGAACCTGGGGCCCTTCAGTCCACAGGCCGATGCTCTATCCACTGAGCCAAACCAGTTTCGGCACAATAAAAGAGAATTTTAAATGCAGCAAAAGGAAATTGGCTATGCAAGATGGAGTTCCCACAAGCTGTCAGCTGATTTTGCCACAGAAACGTTGTAGAACAGAAAAGATTAGCATGAAATATTGAAAGTGATGAAAAGCAAAGACATAATGTTCACTTTGACAGCACATATGCTAAAAATTGGAAGAGCAAAGACTTACAATCAAGATTACTCTTCCCAGCAAGACTATCATTTAGAACTGAAGGAGAGTTAAGGAGTTTTCCAGACAAAGGAAAACTAAAGAAGTTCATCACCACTAACCCAGAATTATAAGAAATGATAAAGGGACTTATTTAAGTGGAAAAAAAAAGATCAAAGATATAAATACAAAAATATAAAAAAGAAAAGAATCTGACTGACAAAGGCAAACACTTTGCAAAAACAGTGAATCAACAAATTATAAAGCTCGAATAAAAATTAAATATACAAAGCAAATATAGATGGACACAAAGCAAGAGATACAGAGTAACATAGTAATAATAGGGCCTTAAATACCTCATTGAGATCAATGAATAGATAATTTAGACACAAAATCAACAAGCAAACCATGTCCTTAAACAATATATTAGAGCAGATGAACTTAACACATATTTTTAGAACATCTTACCTCAAAGCGGAGGAATACACTTTTCAAGTGCATATGGAATGTTTTCCAGGATAGGGCATATGTCAAGCCACATGATAAGTCTCAATAAATTTAAGAAGACTAAAATCATATCACACGTCTTCTTCAATCACAATGGTATGAGTTAAGTAAATAATAATAATAATAATAATAATAATAAAAAATGAAATAGCTGCTTGGACCTGAATTGAAGTGATTCTACATTT